AACATCCCCAGCATAGCACTACAATAAGCAATACCTGGGGGACATATCATTCTCAGGCTAAAAAACTGCCTGATCCCGATCAAAAACATGCAGCAAGTGGTTTCACAACAAGCATAGCCTTGCGCTATGTTTCCTTCTGGCCAGGTTCTGATGCCCAAATGACAGATTTAAAAGAAGCAAGAGGGATTTGAGCTGTCTGGCTTTCTTCATCCCAGCAAACATCCCATGAGCCAGGCCCCAGTGCAGGAAGCTATTTGGGCACACATAATCTTAGCGCTAATGAGTCCATTTACACGTGTGGTTCAGTACCTTGCTGAAGAAGCTCACTGAAGTCAACAGCCTGGAGCTCTCATTCATCTTCTTGCTCAGTAATTACACAAGCAGGAACCTCAAAATCTCAGAAATACTCTGAAAGTAGCAACTTCGAAATAATGCAATCATATTAAAGACCACCACTGAACTGAAGCACTGCACTGAGGTCAAATTAAGCCAAAGCAACAGCTGATGAAGATAAGGGTGGTCTCTTATCTCTACACAACCACCTGCTCCCTCCCAGCCCTGCAAACCAGGCAGCAGATCAGCTCTAGGCTCAGGAAGGCCCAGCAGATCTCCTGACATGGTCCTCCTTCAGTACTAGAGGACTAGGACTAGCAGAAGACTGGGATATGGTCTCTGAGATGGCAAAACTCTCACACCCCCGATGGGCTGGGTGTAGCAGGGGCTGTGATGCTCAGCTAACCTTTCACTCAACAAATGGCAGAGTGGAAGCGGATCTTTAAAACAGACCCTAGGAAGGCTGTGACACCAGCTTCAGAATATAGCCCTATGCTTCTGTCTCGCAGTGGTAGGAACCCAAGTTGGGACATGGGTTTTTGCTTTTCTGTAGGCTTCTCTGGGAGAACCATGGTGAAGGAGGAATCACCGCACCAGACTACGACCTCCCAGCAGTAATGGATGGCTCAGGAGGCAGGAGACCATATGCACTGCACCCCACAGCTGTTCAACATGAACAGGAGTTAAAGAAGAGAGCTTCTCTGATTTCACCCAGTCAGAGCCCCAGAGCACATTATTTTATTATCCCTTGTAACATGTAGATGACTACTGTCCAGAAAATAACCCAGCCTTTTTTTAAAGCCATCTGCAATTTCCTGTTTTTAACATCCCCACATAGGAGGCCTGTAATAAGTGCCGTTCATAAGCAAGGAGCTGTTCCTCCCACATCCCTCCCGGGGAAAGCCTTCCCATTGCTTCAGGTCCTCTCTGTGGTGAACAGGAGGCAGTACCCCAAAGTGCTGCTGCAGAGCCCTATCATAACATCAGCACAGCTAAAAGGTTTTAATCTAAGGTGTTCCTTTCAGGGCTGCTTTCATATTGTTAACAACACTGGAAATCCCAAAACAACATCTCTGTTGTGCTAAATGTGCACGCTTGTGAGCTGCACGGCTGGGGCAGGTCACATCGTGGTGCTGATGCTGTGAGTGCCAGGAGGTTGGAGCACAGCAGCCCCGGTGCCCTGAAGAAAAGGAGCCCACATAGGTGTAATTGCTGGTAAATCGAGTCCTTGTTGACAAAGTAGAAGCATGGCATTGTGCACAGGCAGTTCATAATGTTGGCTTTCATTAAGCGAATGGCTCAGCAGAATGACAGACTGTGTAAAGCGATATTTGCGGCACAGAGCTCCCAAAAATCATAGAATCATAGACTATCTCAAGTTGATCCTTGTGGGTCCCTGCTGAGTCCAACTCCCAAGCCCACCACCAAGCTCAGGCAAGAACATGGAGAGGCACCCCAAAATCCACATGACATCAAACCAGGCCCAGAAGGACTGTGATTTCTTGGGCTACTGAGCCATCTCCCAGCATGCACAAGACCCATAATCTGCCTTGTAAAGCCTTCAGCTATCAGTACTGATCAACTCACTGTCTGCAATAAGAACTGCTGTGAATAAAGATAACAGAATCAGGCCCATCCCTCGCATGCACATGATGCCTATTTTATTTGAGTACCCCAGCTGTGCATTAGCATTATTACTTGCTGTGCTGACGTTCAGTTTCTGTTTATTACCAGTGCAGTGATGATTATCGCTCAGCCTCAGATCAATAATAACTAGGTTGAGTCAATGGCCTGGATCATTCACAAGGAACTGATAAACAACAAACCTCTAACATGACTCGATCTCTAGCTGCCAACTGCACTTGGGAGGGAATTAAGCTCCCAGCAGCTAACCCACGCTGCCGCAAGCACAACACACGCAGGCATGCTTCACAAACAAAAGCCTTCGGGTTTTTCAAAACCTCTTTGTAGTATTTTTTCCGCCGCTGCTTTTCACATCTGTTGGTTTTGGGTCCGGCAGTCCCCAGCTCACTGAATTTCCACATCTATTTCCACACTGGATGTGTCTTTAACCTCAAGTGGACTGTCAAGCCAGATGCCAGATGCCCCCTTACTTCCTCAGTGCAAACTATCGGTAAACCTTAGCATAACTTTACTTTGAGCCTTAAACTAACAGCATGTGAAAAGATTAATATGAATAAATTCAAAACTAATCAGATCCCTTCTTTAAATGTTGACACAGTATTATTTATATCCCATAAATACCTTCTTGACTAAAATTCATCCCAGGAGATTGGCACCTCGCCAGTTCTATTCATATTTACTGTATTTATACAGTACACTTGGCCAAGGATAATATTTAAGACAAAATATGCCTTAGGGTATATACAATATCTCTTATAGTTTTCCTTTTAAATCTCCTCATTGCTAAAAATATTTAGTCTGAACTTTATAAAATGCCCCACAAAGACCTATCAGCGATCTGCAGTGATATATGGCCGACTACGAGTATAATTAGAGCATATTTGTAATACTTGGGTCGCGGGCGGTTGCCGAGTGCTCACGGCTCACGGCAGGGACTGAACCGCTGCTCTTTCCCATGCCTCCCTCCCGGCAGCGTGCGACCCTCCTTTTCCCTCCAGCCTCTCCCAGGCGTGGAGAAAACACAGAGTTAAAGAAATCTGCTCCGAGACACCTTGGATCTGCGCTTTCGAGTTCTTCCTTTAAAATATGGTGGGGCGATTTCGTCCCTGCTGTCTTTTTTGGAAAGGTTTGCTCCATTTGGTATAACTCGAGAGCAGTGGAAAAGCAGTTAACCTACTTACTGGGATGTTCGCGGCAGCGCGCACAGCAGGACGGGATCTGCTGCCGTGGGGCCCTCTGATCCCAAACTTGTGATGCACTCTGTTGGTAGGTACCTGCAATCTCCTCTATTTGTCCAAAGCCTGGATTGATCCTTCAGTGCAAACCTGGCCTCTGACAAGGCTTTATAATTAGATCCTCTTTTACCACACCACCCAAGAGGCACAGCGCAGGTAACTGCATTTTCTGGACCATTGGTCTTTGGGAGTATCCTCACAGCAGGGGACATATGGAACATGGTAAGGACTGAGGCATTTCACCTCCAGACACTGTCCCTTGTTTGGCTCTCAGCCATTCTAGCCTTGCCCATAGGTGCCCATCATTCCACTCAGGACACGACACAGGAGGTCCCAAAACAGAAGTGCTGGCTTTCCACAAAACCCAGCAAAACCCCACTGATCTGAGCACTGACCTAGTTGCTACTGCTGCAAATTACACTGAACCTCTTTGCTCAAAGCCTCTTGGCTTCAAATGTGTATTTCTTTCTTAAAAAAAAAAAAAAAAAAAAAAAAGTATTTCTTTCCTCTGTGTAACAAGGGTGGAGTGTATTTATCATGGCTATTAGGGATGGTGCCATAATTACAATACTAAAACGTCCCTGACTGCCAGGGTGTCCCGTACCTGATGCTGTCATTTAACAACAAAGGGAGGCAGCTGCGCCCAGCGCGGGGCTCGGATGCCTTGGCTGCCATCCTGGGACGATCACATGCAAGACAGAGCAAGCCTCAAAGCTACAACCCGCTCAACTAAAAATAAATAAGAGAAAACGCAATTAGAAACTCTAGGATAAAGTTACCAAGATGGCTGCATTATCTGTGTGAGCCGGAGGGATGTGCTTTGCCGACCCAGCCGGTGAGGAGATGGGGCGTCCAGTGGTGGGAGGGGAGACAGAGGGAAGGGAGCGAGGCGAAATAGTGGGGATGCGGCTCTGGGTACGCGAGCGGAGGAGTTACTTTCTGCTTCTGGTATTTCACTTTCCTCGGCACGATGATGATCGAGATTCTTTTAAGGGAGTGCGGTGTTTTTCCCTTTTTCTTTTTTTTTTTTTTTCCTTTTTTTTTTTTCTCCCTTTTCGCTTAAACTTCACAACCCAAACAAAAAGGCGCGCCGTTGCGATTCTTAGTCGCGCTCGGTGGATCCGGTCAGCACAGTGCGTTTATAGCCTTTCACTGCACAAAACGTGGCACGGATCGCCAGAGAGTGGTTAACAGCAGCGAGAAGGCAGACGGGCTGAGACAGGTTCCAAGCAGCCAGGCTACCCAGAAGGGGAAACTTTTCCTCTACCTGAAATGAAAGCGCCCATGCACCGAGCGGGCAGGCGGGGAGGGACAGAGGGGGAAGTCTGAGCTCTCTGAGCACCAACCCATGGGACAGGGAGCTGGAGGGGCGAAGGGAACCCAGGAGGGAATGCTGCGGGTTTTGTTGTGGGTTTGCTGTATTATTATTTCTTTTCTTTTCTTTTTAAGACCTCCTTTTCTTTTCAGTTCTGGAGAGATGGAAACTTGCCCGACTCAGACACTCCAAGGGAAACAACGGCAGCGGAAAGATGTTGGCTCCTCTCAGAGGCTGCACCCGGGGCAGCGGGGCGGCTGCGCGGGCACCCCTGGGGACCACATCCCAGCAGGGATACGAAGCTGGGGGGCAACCGAGTCCCCCCCATTCAACATATTCATTCCCCCCATCTAAAGGAAGCCCTATAAGCAACCGGATGGGATGCTGAGAGCAAAAGGAGCAAAGAGGGAGGGGTTGTGATGTACGGGGCTGGTGGGCACCGTCAAGCGAAATCACGTCCGCAGAGCACTTACTTTCGGGGTAAAAAGGCTGCATGTCTATTTTGTAAACTTCTTTGGCGTAGTACTCCTCGTCGCTCCGCTCCCTCTCGCAAGTGGCGGCTCTGTGGTTGGCTTTCTCCTGCAGCAGGTCCCTGGTGCTGTTGTAGATGGAGATGACCTCCGGGGGCACCTCCTCGGGCTCGGGGTACTCGTCCGGGGGGCTGGTGAGCTTCAGCTTGCTCAGGATCTGCCCCCGGATCGCCTCGATCCTCTTGCGCATGAACTGATCCATGTCGAGGGTGCTGCAGGTAGACAGGCTGAGAGCCACGGCGGCCAGATCCAGGGTGAGGAACACGCTCAGGAGATAGCAGTGCATCTTAAGTGCTTAAATACAGCGCCCCCCGAAAAAAGAGTGACTTTAACCACGAACGACAACGATGGGGGTGGGGGGATGGGGGGTTTAATATTAAAAAATAACAGGGGGATGTGTGCAAACAAAGGGAGGATCTGCAGACAAAATGCAGTGAACAACCGGACTGCAAGGACGGCTTGCAATCCACAAACGCACGGGAGTCGCCAGTGGAAAAAATACCAATAGTGATACAAAAAAAAAAAAAAAAAAAAAAAAAACCGAAGAAAAAAAAGAAAAATAAAAAAGAAAGAAAAATAATAATAATAAAAAAAGATGGGGGGGGGAAGAAGAAAAAACAACCAAACAGATAAACTCGCAAATCAAGTAAATAGAAAAGAGCCTGCTCGCAGCGAGCTGGCGGCGCAGGGTGGAAAACCCAAAAGAGAAAAAAAAAAAAAAAGGAAAAAAAAGGAGGGGGAAGAAGTGATGGGCAGAAGGGCGCTGCCGCAGCCGGCGCCGAGCCGAGCCCCGCGGTGCCGGCGCTCAGCCCCCGCGGCGGCGGCGGGAGAGGCGCGCACGTGTGCGCCCGGCGGCGCGCAGCCCCGGCCCCGCGGCGGCGCCCGGCCCCGGCGCTGAGCGGCGGAGCTGCGGCGGCGGCTGCTGCTGCTGCTCGTCCGCCCGCCGCGTCCCGCAGGCTGCTGCGTGCGCCCCGCGCCGCATGCACCGACCCACCCCCGGCCGGGCCGCTGCGCGCTGCTGCGGGGCTTTTTCCAGCTCCCTCCTCTTCCTCCTCCTTCCGCCGCGACTCAGCGAGGCCGCCGCCGCCGCCGCCCCGACGGCCTCCCGCGGATCGCAGGCGCGGAGCGGCCGCCCGGGGCTGGCCGCAGCTCCGCTCTGCCGGCCGGCCTCCCCCGCGGGGCTGGCCCTAGCGCTCCGCCCGGCGCCCCCCGCCTCCCCCGGCCCCGCGGCGCTCCCTGCGAGGAGGGGACGGGTGCCAGCAGATAACATCACGGCCGCGCAGGGAGAGGGAGATTTATAAGGGCTCCCCGCCCCACGTGCTCGCCTCGCCGCGAAGTGACGTGGTGGGGCTGCGGGCAGAGAGCGGAGGGCTCCGCCGCCGCCGCCCGCCTATTTATTCCCCTCCGAATCCGGCAGGGACCAGCCGCAGCCCGGGGACGAGAGGGGCAGCCCGGCGCATCTCTTTTTCCTCCTTTCAAAAGGACGGCTGCGGCGCCCCTCGCCCCTCTTATTAGGGTAATTGGGTCAAACGGCAACCTCGCTACAATTAAGCGCCTGGATATGCAAGTACGCAGGGGGAAGGACGAGGACCTCCGGTAGCAGCAGATAGGGCTTTGCACTGCCCCACTCTTACTTTTCACTTCCACGCACGTTTGGGGCAATTCCAGCGGGAAGCAGGCTCAGCTCCGGCTCTCCTTCTCCCTGCACTTGACAGAAGCTCTCAAGCCCCGCATTCTCAGGCTGCGTCTGCAATTCAGTTTTTCCACTGCCTCTTTCGGCCGCAGCGCACATCGCAGCCTGAGCCCGGAGCAGTGTGCAGGCAAGGGCCGGGCTCTGACCTCGGGCCCCACTCTGACCTATAGAAATGACCTCGCACACTCCCTCAGACTTATGCCATAAAGCAAACTCTTCCGAAGAAAAAGGCTATTAAGTGATTTCCTTCTAAAGCTGCAGCTGAAACCAGGAGAAATGCCTCACACTGAACCTATGGCCCCGTGCTGCTTGGTTGCTGTCAGTGCACTGCCCATTACTCCCCTCGGGGGCTTCACAGCCCTCAAGAGTTGGACTACTAGATGACCATAGTGATCTTTTCCAACCTTAATGGTTCTATAAAAGCACCCCACTCTCTCCTCCAGTAGGAAACTGTTACCTCTAGAGAGCTCTGCAAGAACCATCCTGCCAGATCCCTGCAATTCATAACAATTTGAAGAAAAAAGACCCCAAACTTTGCCATCTCTTTCACAAGAACAGTCCTGGAGCCTTGTCAATGCCCTGTTCAGGTATGACTATAAGCTGGGCTGTCCCTGCAGGCATAGGTGCCGGGGTCCAAGCTCCAACGTTCTACAGAAGCCACCAGAGATGCAACCAGGCTGACAGCAAACCCATCTGACCAGATTCTGCTGAGATTACTCCTGATTTGGCAGCCTGGCTAGGAAGACATTTCATTTTGTTCTCATTTGAGAAGGCACTTTTGCTTCTGTTTCTAACCCTTCGTGCAACACAGGGTGTCAGGTCTACCCATCATCTCAGCTTTGCCTCTCCAGTGCAGTGATGCTCAGTTCCCTACAACCTCCCAGTATCCCCATGGTGATGTGTTTGCTAGGCAGAACTTCCCAGAAGCAGCAGCAAGCCAGGCTTTGGCCTTTCTGCTCCCAAAGCCCTGGCTGCTTGAGCTAAACTGCCAGCAGCTGCAGCAGGGTATGGCACAAGCCTGAACTGCTCTACTTACCACAGGAAAGGACACCTACTTACTTGATGTAAGTAAGATAGCCACTAACTAGAATGAACACACTGTGATACACACATCACAATTTATCTGATCTTATTTTCTGAATCACAGAATGGCTTGGGTTGGAAGGGACCTCACAGGCTGCCTAGTGCCATCCACCACCTGCATTTGATATTTTTATCTCAAAGAGTATTGCAAACTGGACTCCAACTGGGTGATATTTTTTTCCTTGCTAAAGCAATGTCCAGAAGAGACCATGATAAAATGTCCAAAATTACCTAGCCAAACTCCATACACTCCTCAAAGCCGGACAAAGAGCAGTAGTGCCAGAATATACTCGAGGCATTTATCTGCACAGGTAACTCAGCTTTCACATTCTACCTTTAAGATTCAGGACCAATATATCTGTCAAAACTATCCTAATTATGGCTTTGTGTTTCATCCTGGAAAGCCCTCTATTCTTATCCATTTCTAAGCAGTTTGTGTTTAAGGAGTACCCATCAGCTTCAAAAGCTGCGGGGATTATCAGGCACTAAAGCTGAACTGAACGAGCACTTACCTCTCCCTCAGACTCTTCAAAGCGGATGGACTTACCCTGAGCGCCTGCTGTCAGTGGGAGCTTTGTAAACCAGAAAGCAGGAACTGGCCCTCACCATTCACACAGGGAAAGAACAGAACTTATCTGTTCTGAAGCATTTAATTTAATACAATACTGTCTTTTAATATGTTGATATATATATATATATTTTAATAAACAGTAACTGTTTATTAGAAAAACAGGGACACCTGGAAAGTTACTTCACTAAACTTAAAAGTTTCATGTTTCCTATTAACTTAAAAATTATGTGGTCAGGATTTTACAATTTGCGGTTTCTTTTGAGATTGTTTTGGTTATACGCAAATGTGCTGTGTGAAACACAAAGGCAATAATCTTTCTAAAACTGCTGACGACCAGGTCATTAAGTAAGGTGGCTGGCCACATTTCATAAACTAAAGAACACTGTTGGAAGAGGAATAACTTTTATAAGTTAAGAGGTGACTTTTGTAAACTCACACGCCGATGACGACTGCAGGATGCTTGCACAATTAATTCTTTGTGGCACGCACAGAAATCTGCAGCAGTTGCTGTGGTCATGCAGAATCTCAGTTATTCTGATGCAGGGTGCGAGGCAGAAACGTTCAAATTCTCCTCTTTATAAAAGTGCACGTAAGAGCGTTCAGCTTGAAGAGCTAAGGTGGCACCTAATAAAGGTACTGCGAAAAGGAGACGACAAATAATGGAAAATTTTAATATATACAGCACAATAAATAGTAAAACCTCAGGGTTTATTATCTTTACTGAAGTAGAAGCCCATACCTCTGTGCTGTACACTTCATTAGTGTGTGCAGTAATGCCTGTATGAATTCTGAGAGCAGATCCTGCTGACCTTACTAATACAAGCAGCCCCACTGCCAGTGGGATTGCATTTCACACAACCACAGCCCGCTCCTGCAACGCTCACGTTCCAGAAGATAATGGCTACTTTATATAACATACTGCTTAACACGCACGACTGCTATCCATATATACATGCACATATGTAACTACTTGCCAACTTGCAAATCAAAGGTATGTTTCTGATATAGATGTATAACTATAAATAAATAGAATACATACATAGATGAAAGTTCTCATTCCTGAGGATAGAGTAAGTTCAGTGGAAATAATCACAAGAGAGTCGTCAACAGGCTCCCACCAACTGAGAACACGGGATTACAGCAAGCCCTGATGCCCACAACACAGCATGCAATCTGCATTTAAAACCATACCTTGATAAAAGGCATCCAGAACACAATCACAAAAATAACAGTGACTTCAGACAGGATTCTGATCCCAACACTTCAAGCCAGAATGACCAAAATCTGAAGGAAAGGGGAACGTTCAGGAGGTGTTGAGATATTATGGCTCCCAGGGAATCAACACAGTTATCAATGGGCTACATTTTTTTGTCCTGAAAATGGACATTTTTTTCTATGAAGGCTGCACATATCAGTGCTGCATTCAAAGGAGTTCCTTCTTCTAAGTGTCCCCATCTTTAAATTAGTTAAGACTCGAATCTTGACAAAGATTTTGTGAATGTCAGAGAAGTTCTTTCCCCATGCTTACACCTCCCAGTTTGATCCTCTCATGTACTCTTCCAAATCTGCTTGTCAGCCCCAGGGTTACCACACTAATCTTCTCTGTATCATTCCAGTTTCAGTGTGTGTACCATTGAAAAAAAAGGCCTTCCTTAATCCTAGCACCTGTGGTTTTAATCACCACAGGAAATCCTGTTTCCACTCAAGTCAGTAAGATTTCTCCTGTAAATATCAGCAGAGAAAATGATCAGGTTCACTAACTAAAAATACAAATTAAAAAAATAAAACAAAACAGAACTGGAGAAGCACAGCGGTTTATGTACCACAGGGTCTTGACATCCACTTACAGCAAGTATGACAAAATAAAGACAATAGAGCAGAAGCCATCTCTTTAATCCCTGTGTATGAACCCCTGACCTGCATCTCATCCTCAGCATTACAGCTGTTATATGCTATTTTTGAACCACTTGATGATGATTTGGGTTATGCCCCACTAAATAACATACAAATGATACCTATAAATACTATATTCCTAGCAGAGAATCTACAGGAGTCTATTCAGGAAATTAAAATGATGCAACTTGAGTTAGAATACGCATCTACACTGCACTTCAGAGAGTTTAAGGAGATTACATATAGAACAAGATTAATTGGCAGCAAATTCAAAAAATGGGCCAGGCAGTAATGCAATATTTAGCCTAGTGAGAGCCAGACAGCCTTGGGACTGAAGTTCTGGCTTCTTCACAAGCTGCTGGTGAAGTCCACACAGAAGAAAAGCTTTAATAAGTCAATGCCGCTTCAGAATTTCCTTGCCTAATGTATTTTAAGCACACATGTTTGAGATAATCCTAATGAGTTTTCAGAAAGCAGTGCTTTGTTTTCAATTATCCCAGAAAGAAAGGTTTTTTTATTAAGGTTTTCTGCTGCACTCACACAAGTTCCAGTTCGTATTGCCTCTCTTCCCTCTTCTTCCACCGTTATACATTTTTAAACCTATGTATTGTTGGCTACTGAAATCAATGTTCTTGAGTGGCTGTTCAGAAAGTTTCATTTCAGCTTAGCTGGGATTCCTCTCTCTACAGAAGAGGTCTATATGAGGCTGACACAATTCTGTTATCCTGAGGGCTGCTCTGTAGGGTACCAAGCACCAGAAGAATTGGCATTCTGAGCTTGTCCCCACAGAGCCACAACACTGCTCCACACACAGCTAGGGATACCATGAGCCTCAGTTTTACATTAGTTTATAAGTAAGCGTTGATTGATTCTGTGATAGTGGCAATTCAGACTCAATTCCAGATGATTTCTGAGCCAGATCTAGACTAGGCCACCTAGAAGTCATTGCCTTCTGCAAAATTTCATCAAATGCCTTTGGCCTTCAGAGGTCAAACCCAGCAGGCCAGTGGCATCTGCATGCTGACAGCAGAATGCAAAAGGAGGGAAGGAATGGCACAGTATTTGCTACAGATTTATCACAAGGTTGGCAGATCATCTTGACTATATTTACCTCAAATGATAGTAACAATTTCTTGCAGACAAATGCATCAAATCTCAACATAAGTCTGATCTGGGCTAGTGGCTCACAATTAACATCACACATACCAAAAACAGAATTAAGAATCATTGAAAACGTTGAAAATAAGACTTAGAGTTCTCTCACTGACACAGGAAGATGGGCTATTTGAATGATTGAGACATTATGAGGAAATAATACTTTCTCCTAAAATCACCTTCCAAAGTGTTTCTCAGAAGTAATCTGTACTTACGTGGTCACACGGGAAAGCTTGAAGAAAGCATAATTCATTATCTGACAAACACATGGGTTTAAACAGAAACCATTTCCAAGGTTGAAGCATTGCACCAAGACAAGCATCTCTGGTGCTGAAGCTATTTAATTTGACCAGATTTTTATTTCAACATGTTCCTTAAGTGAGAAAAGCAATTACAAAGATACATTCAAAACCAAAACGCTTTGTTTAAGAAGTATCAGCTACTCTGTATCTGATTAAGAATGACCAAGAAAAAGCCCTTATCTGCTTGGTCAAATACAGAGGTGAAACCTTTGATGTTTACATACTGCCAGAGGTTAACAGTTATTACTTTAGGATAATAGCAAAGGAGACAGACAGCCTTCCACCATCTGTTAACCAAGAACTTGTCCTGTCTCCCACGTCTATCTTAGACCCAGAGTCTAAGTTTAATGTCTTATTTAGCACTAGAATTCCACCTATTTAATCCAAGCTTAACAGAATGAGGAATTTGTCATTTTAAGTTGTGCAATACTGTGTGCCAGATGACTTCTTCCTTCCTCCTTTAAGAAATCTACTGAGCCAGCTCTGAGTAGATGCAGCTTTACAGATCATCTTCTTCTGGAAGCTTCAGATAGACAAAACACTTTTATGGCCTCCAAACAACTAAAATAAAAAGAACCATCTTACCTCCCTACCCCCACTAGGAAGTAGTTTCCAGTTCTTTTGCTCTTCTCAGTTTGTGAACTCCAGGATGAGCTGCCTCAACGATGCAAGTTGAGGAACTTCACCCCCTGTTTCAGCAGGGAAGAGTAGGTGGTGCAGCAGCATCAGGCACAATAATATTACACCACTAGTTTTTCCTTAGCAGCAGACTGGAAGAAAAGCAGTGAAATGGTCCTTATATCCATAGGCCAAATCATGCTTTCCTTGCTGAGAAACTAGAAAGGAGGAGAACAGACATGGGAAGAGCTGACCCTATGCCTTCTCTTATTAAACAAAACCTTGTTACTTGCATGCAACCCACAGAATATTAAACTCTACATACTCTAGAGTTGGCTTGAAGCCTAATAAAACTGGAACCACCCCATCTTTATTGACTTTATATAGATAGGTACAGAAATATACAAAGTCAAGATGATTCATGCTCTCTGGAATGAAGGGCAGCAGCACAGTTCTGCCTAAGCAGAGATATTCATGGGAGCAGGCAAAATAGACTGAGAGCTGCGATGGCCGGGAAAAGCTGCAAAAGGCTGTTCTTCCTTTTTGATAGCTTTAAAAGAATATTATTGAAAAAGCTGATAGGAAGGCAGGTGAGACAACTGATCCTACAATCAAGAAGGGAGACTGGAAGATCTCCAGGCCAAACAGGGTTTAGCACTTTTGACTTGTTAGTCAAACTTGTGAAATAAATCAGCATAAAATTAAATTATACTGCTCTCAACTGCTACAAAACTCCTAAGTTCATCTTTTGGAATTACTTATCTGTTTAAGTCGCTATAGAAGCTTCTCTGCAATATGGCACAACCAAAGGGCAAGGCACAGTATCAGAATTATAAAGTTATCCAATATAAAAGTCTATTATGCCTCTTAAAAGGCAAGAAACACTCAACCTACAGGCAAAATGCTTAAGCACTGCTGTGCACTTAAAAAAGAATGGAAGCTTAAGATAAGCAAATTAATGATAAAATCTACAAACATCTGAATACTCCATATTCTGAAAGTCACCTCAGGATATTACAGTTTCTAAGAAAAACGCATAATTTTTAACAGCTTGATCTTAAGCAGGGACCGCTGATATTAACTTAGCAACTGCAGATTTAAAGGTGCTGATGGAGTTTTTCTGCACAAAGTAAACTCTACAGAAAGAAAACAATGTTAGATTAGAATATTATGCTGTTTTATCGACTCAGAATTCATTGTAGTACATTTTTGTATTGCTCTATGAGATGCCAGCTTTAGCTGAACAGCTGTATAGATGTCTAACCTTCAGAAGCTAGGATAACCATATGTCAAACTTCTGTGGTTTTGCCACTTGATATTTTGGGTGTATGCCTTCATTTGTGATAATAAATATCAGGCCACAAACTAATGTCTACGCAGATATCTAATATGTTTAACACTCAAAGCAGCTTGAAAATCTAAACATTTCTGCTGTTAGCTTTGAGTTCTCCTCAAAGAATTATGCTACAATATATACCAGATGAATAGGCTAGGGATAACACAACCACTGCCAGTTGTTAGGATGGGTTTCCCTGTATCATTTTGTATGTATGTTTTTAAGCTATAACATACACAGAGTTCACCCCCAAAGGCCCTCCTCAATGCTTTCATTAAAAAACCTAAATTCACCATCCTACCACACATTTCAGTGTGGAAGAGTGAAAATTTAAGACTCTCCTAATCATATATTGGACATAAGCAGTTACAAAGAAAGGTTTGCATGAAAGAAAATGTAGATACAGACAGAATAGTACTATTTATATAAAGTATCAATTAATAGGCCCCAAAGCATTCTCTTCACATAGCAAACAGAGAAATGCATTAAAAAGAGAATCCAAAACAAAGGAGACAGAATTCAGACTCAGCCTCTCATCTAAAACTCCTTAAGCACCATCTTATTCCTTCTGTATACATTTGCTTACATATGAATTACTTGTATTATGCAGTTAGCTTCTGCACCTTTGCAACCCAACAATCTATCAGAAGAAACTGGTGTGGCATAATCAAAGCCAGCATTTGGTATCCTTACAGTATGCACCTAAGAGAAAGGGCTTTTGTTTGACCCTCTGCAGACCTGAGGAATTAGCATTACAGTTGACTAAACCCAGAGTGTGTCTCAGAGGTCCGGTTCCCTACTGAAAAAGACCAGAACACCAGAACTGCAAACGAAGCAACACTAAGTACAATTTTATACAGTGTTGCTAGAAAAGACCTTTCTGCTCTAACAAACACAATAGCAATGACTGTCTTTTCCTCTTACTGGTCTCTGAACACATGTAACTTCAGACTTACAGTGGAAAAACATACATACATATATACACTTTTATACCTACTTTTTTATATGTATATACACACACAAAGCCAATCAGTAGGGTCAAAACTCATTTTACAAATGTTTCCATAGTTGTCTTCAATCAGATTAATGCTCTAAGACCAGAACTATCACATTAATCGTTACTTCTCTTTATTATCTATGAAGCCTTTCCTAGCCAAAGTAATAAAGTCTCTATAGGAGCCTGATAACTTTACAAGGTGACAGCATTTCTGTGTTTATTGTTAGCCATTTCTACTGTGAATTGCTAACAACTTTTCAAAGTGTAACACTGATTTGGAAATGCAGGCACACTAATACATCAATTGCCATGACGAATGTATAAACTTTTAATGACCTTGGCAAAATCCATCTTTCATTGGGCAAGTGCCACTATTTTGACTGCACAAAATGTTTTGGAAATATGTTGAAAATTATACATGTTTTGAAAAATATTTCAGGATTTCAGTACAGCAAATGAAGCTATATTTAAAAAGTTGGACACCGAGGATAAAACATACTCGAGTTGTACAAAACTCTTTAAGAAGGGAAAGCCTCCAAGTATTGTACATTCACAGAATGTTGATTTTTATTCCAAACAAAGAAAGGTAAAGTATCTTGAAATGCTTTCAGTTTCATTCAGTCACTGTCATCTTCCTGTTTTAAACCACCTCCTTGTTCCATACTGCCCTCTCCATCACTTTCCTTATCCCAGTCTTTCATAGATGCTCCCATCATGAAGTCATCACGCAGTATATTCCATTCTGGTCCCTCTTCAGACTTCACTTCACCCTGTATGTTTGAGGGGAGGAGAAGGAAGAGGATGATGAGATGAATGTGAAAGAGGCAGTAGAAGATGGAAAGCCTTCATATAACCACAATAATGCCTCACACAAATTTGCATTGACAGACATACCAAAGGTCAGCACCTCACACAAATGTTACGTGGATAAACAGGGGAATCATAACTACCTGATGCAAATAAGTGAATTTATTTTAACCAACCAATAAAGGGAACACAGAAAAAAAACAGTTATTCCTTGTGGATGAAACAGTCAACCCTGGGCATGGCTTCCTTTATTAAAATCTTTCTTGGCAATCAAAATGGATTCATGATATCATTTATTAACCCCCAGGTGCTGCTTCATTAGAACACTTCTTGGCACATTTATAAAACACAAATATGGATTTAATAAAGGCTTAAAAAAACCTAAATTTAATATTTAACATATTCTGCGATACGTGAACCAAATCCCCTTTATGTGGATTATTACCTCACTACCTGGACTTGTCATATGGTGCAAAGCTGCCTCTAAAAGAAACTGAAAGTTGATCTACACTCAGCATGCCAACAACACCTTATTCCAAATTTTGCGCTTCTTCGAAGCGGATAAACTGAAGCCATGCTAAACAGACCAGTGAATAATGAAGAAAAGTGACAGGAGCCTTAGTTTCAGGTTAGCACTGAAAACATTGCTAGGTTGTTCTTCTAAGTGATGGAGCACATTGAGCGGTGCAACAGCCCCATCCTGTGGCAACAGTTTTAAAGAACAGGATGAAGTAATTCTGACATTCCAATTGTTACTGGAGGAAAACACTGAAAAACGTTCCAGGTACCGAAGAAGGACTTCAGTCATTTAAGTCCAGCAGCAGATTACTTCTGAGGAACAATCAGTGTCCAACACGCAAGCAAAAAATTAGTTTACCAAGGAGGAATTGAAGGAATTGAAAAAAAAATTTACTCCTGTGATGTCTCAGTGGTATGAAATGCCTGTTTCAATCTCCTTCCTACCGCCCTACCCAAATTGGGAACCAATTCACTTGTTTAACCACCCCCTTCTGACGTTGCACCTTCAGACAGGGGCTATTTGTAACGGCATCCTCTGCAGATGCAGATCATGTAGTTTCTGGGAGAAAATAGCATAAAATTTAAAAGAAATAATTAGAAGAAAATGCAGATCTCTCACTGCAAACCTAACACATCACACCAACAGAAGCTACCTGAGTACAAGAAGCCTGCCAGACAACTTACTTCTAATAGTTACTCAAAACAGAAATGATTTCAAAACGTGATTTGTTCTGCAGCTCTGTGAAAGATGACTGCCACAAAGAAGAAGATGACACATCTCAACACTTTCTCTTCCAAAAGCAATCTCCCTAGGCCCAACAACAACCACCACCAACCACCAAAGCTGTTCAAGATGTAGGTTTTTTTTTTATTATTTTCATTTGTCTTCATAGCTGCATTGATGGTTATTTGGAGGTGTAACTCCCATCTCCAGCAGCAGTGGAAAAACAACAACTCTCTTTTTCCCCAGGGAAGTGACTCCTATCTGCTTTCACTGTTGCAGCAATTCACTACAAATGCTACTCCCCATAAAGCCTGAAATCATTTCAGGCAGGGTAATCAGTTAACTGGAATTAAGAGAGTGACAGACAGTGCAGGTCTGTAGGAAGACCTTAAGATATTCTCAGTGGAAAAAACCATACTAGAGAAAACTTTGGTATTCTGTCGTTCTACACATTTTCCTTTCCAGGTTAGGATAAGGTCAGAATGATTACAAAAAAAAAACACTTGTTTTTTTGTTTGTTTGTTTTTTTAATCCCAGATATTTTAGAAATAATCACTATTTGAACATATAATAGAGTAAAACCTGAAATACTTACATGGAAAATCCCCATTTTCCTTACAAATTTAGTTATTTTTTTGCAATAATAATGAAACAAGAGATGTCATTTGTTTTTCCCACACACACACAGAACACATTGTCAGCAGCACCAGTGAAAGGCTGCTCAGGCTTTGACAAGCCCAATGCTCAAATTATCACAATCCACTATTCAGTAAGTGAACAAGAGAACAAAAGCAGGACCTCAACAAAGGGGGATGCCGATCCTCTGCAGCATTATCCGCTATGCAAGGAGCCACAAAGGTTTGAATAGGAGTTTATACAAGCACTAAGAAGAAAGACAGCGAGACATATCCATGCCTGAAAGATGAAGATTAAATACTTGAAAGCAAACGTTTAATCAATTTTAAGCATGCTCCCAAGTGAAGAAAACCCCACGTTTAGTATCTTCATTCCTAAGTCACTTACCTCTCTATTTCTTCCTCACAGTAAAAACCACCCAAATCCATTCTATCGCAAAAAAAATTCCTGGAGACTTAAGAAAATATGCAGCAAGAATATCTGTACAATTAACAATTAGTTCAACTCTAATATCACTTCCCAACTTGTTTTATATAAGAATACTAATGCCCTTGGGTTTTCAATGCTATAATCTAGTTCCATCTAAGTAGAACAGAAGTGATTCTTGGCACTTGGAAACGAAACCGGCTTTCACTCTATTCAACTGCCTTTGAACTCCCAGTCAGCTGTTCATCCACCTCTCCCACATACCACTCTAACACTAAAGTCCCCTTTGAACATCCCCAAATGCAAACAAAACAGGCTATATAAACATAAGTGCTTAACACTATGGGAAACAGTAAGGTAGGGAGTGAAACAACTGCTTTTTTTGTTTTCCCTTCTTTTATACACAGATTTGAATGGATGTGTTCTTTGCCTGAAGGCATTGAACCTACTTCAGAGGGTCAGAGAAGGAGCAGTTACCAATGCATCTCCAGCACATGATGATGCATTTGATATCATTCGCTGCAATGAGAGACCAAAACCCGAAGCTGTGATTACTCTACTGCAGATGCCCATTTGCTGGGAAGGCCAGATAGCCCACCTGAGGAGAGATACCACAACTGCCATCTCCCACGCTTGGTGAGTCACTTAAGCATTAGCTCAAGTCCGATACAAGGATTTTGCACTGGTGACATATTTCCCAAACTATTACTGGTTTGAAGACGTAATCTCTGAAATCTGAACCAGAACAAAAAGAACTGAAATCCTAATAAAAACAAATCAACCAACAAACAACAAAGCTTAGGTCTGTCACCCAGAACAAGCAGCCATCACTTGCAGGATCCAGGCTGGAATTGTTTCCTGGATGCTTATGGAGTAACACAGAGACCTATGCACAGGCTGAAGAAAGTCCTGTAACACTTACTGGTGATGGTATAAAAGGTTATGTTCTGAAAAATAGAGCAAACAGATTAAAGACAGTATTTGTGCCACTTGAACATCTGCGCAACAGCAAAAATAAAGGTATTTCTGCCTTTATCACTGTAGAAATTCCCCTGAAGTCTAAATTCCTCTAGTGTTCAGAAGACAGAAACTGCAGGGTATTAAACATTTTTCAAATGTAAGAATTAGAATCAGCACACTGGGCTCCCATGCCTTTCCTCTGTGAAGAAGATGAAATACCAGAGCTTGCAGGGGCATCTCTCTTTACCATCATATACAATAAACGTTTATTTGTACCTGTCAGGGAAGGAATTTCTAACATAAATATCTCTAAAGCAATGACTTTAAGCCCTGAGAAAACAACTCTAACGTGTCTAATTAATTTGAACTGCCTCCCCAGGTTCGTCTGTTCTGCTCAATACAGACATCTAAGAACTTGAAATACAGGGAGGCTTTTGTCACAGCAAAGAAGTTAAAAAGTCTATCTGCCAAAATGCATTCTCACATACATCTGACAATCACCCTCCCTGCCAGCCTGCATCCTTCTCCAAATGACTGCTGCTATTCTCTTCCTTATCCCCAAGAAAGCTGCCTTAAGCCTAGCTCAAAAAACCCACACACATACTCTGACGTGTGTTAAATCTCCACTAAAACATAAGAACACATATAAAAAAGAAAACAAACATAAAAAACAAAAGCACTTGAAAGTACAAGGAAGAGATGCAAGACGAGGAACACCAGCAAAATCTTTACCTCTACGTTTGTTTTCAGAAATATCGAAGTTCATGCTCTAGGAAAATAAATTTTCTCAGTTTTGTCTCAGCTAGTACTGTAGCTTAAGGATTTTAAACAGCAATATAAGTAGAGCTGAAGATGTAATCACCTTTAACAGAAAAAAAAAAAAAACCTAAAAAAAGCCTGTTGGGCTTAATAATCAGCACTACTTGCAATTTTCAATTATTTGAAATACAGTGAGATCTTCAATAAGATAGTTTCCTACATACACCTGATCCCCAAAAGACAAAAAATCCCCAAAGATCTGGAGACTGAGACTAGGTGAGACTATGCGCTGAACTTCTGAGCTCAGGTCTCATAGAAACTTACTTTGATTTTGGAAAGCTTTTTTGAGCTTAGAGACCACGCCACCTACACAACAGAAGTCTACTCTGCAGCAGAGTAATGCTACACAGTTGTTTATTTCTTAAGACAAGAATCATTCAACAACAATTTACACTCTCTCTTAATGAGACTGAACTCAAATGCCTTGGTATATTTGAAGTGACAACACCAAGCATGGTATGAGAAATTTATTCATACCACAAAGTCTCCTGTGCACACTGAAGCCCACAATTACATTGCTATTAAGCATATGCATTAATTTTTGCAGTGTTTTGAATCCTGTTGTTCTCAGTCAAACTTCTCTGCAACTGAAGCACTGGAATTGTTACAAAAAGGCAAGGGAAACACAAATAGTGATTTTAATTCTGAGCGCAGCCAGAAGACCACCCACAACTTAATGACCTGCATGAGGAATCTCCCCATCCTCATATTCTCCTCTGGGTTTTACTACAACCAAGGATGTGTGAATGAGAAAGAATGCAATGGGTTGGCATGCAGAGGCTTAAATATGCTCCAACCTTGGAAAGGTCAGAATCACATCACAGAAATTCTAAATACAAGCATTTATCTAGCTTTAAGGAAAAAAAAAAAAATCATTAG